GTGCCGGTCACCCCCGGCGGAGGGCAGGGGCGCCGCCCGGTTCTGAGCTGAACAGACCCGGGCCGGTGCCGCCCGTCTGCCCGACCCCGAGGGAGCGCACAAGCGGGGGGAGCCCCGCCAGCGGGGGGCGCAGCGCGGGGCTGAGCGCGGAGGTGCTTGCGTTCAGGGGGAGCAGACGGAACCCAAAGTACTCGTCCCGTTCAGCTTCCAAGGCCCCGCAGCGCTTTCCCGGCAGCAGGAGCCCCTCGTCAGTTAAAACCGGCCCTGCCTGCGCTCCACGTGCGCTGTGAATCCAGCGGCCGCTGCCGACCCGACTGGCACGGTCTCCCCGTGCCATGGGGGAGGCATGGCTTACAAGCCATCCTGTCCTGAGAACGCTCAAGAAAAACCTTACTCATTAGTTTATGATGTACGGCATTACAGAGGGCATCACGATCTCATAACTTTTGTCCCAAGCGCTCCCAAAGCTGTCCCAGACCTGAGAGGGACGCGCTCGCTCCCTGCTATGGAGCCAGCAGCTTCCCGTGAAAGTACCAAATAATAATCATTAGTCTGGCGCTGGACACACTGCTCCCCCAGAAACATACTGTAGTTCTCCCTTTAGGTCCAGGTTCTGAGATGGGAGCTGGTGATAACTATAGGCCTTTGATTTTTGGTGTAACACTTTCTGGTATTTTACTCGTAAAGGCTTAAAGCCTGACGGCTGGAACAGTACACCCCTGGCAGGGAAGAGGAAAAAAACTTACCCCCATGGGTAGTGGGTATTTCACAATCAAAAGTTAAATTTTAAGAGGAAGTCAGTTGATTGAAATTAGACCTTCAACATCATTTATACTAGAAATAATGATAAGCTTAAACACTAAGTTCTCTGTCACTTTAGCGGGAGTTTTGACAGCAGGTAGTCAATACCGGGACAGCCCGAACTAGCCGTCAGGTACATGGAGCGCTGTTTAGAGGTGTGAGGTGTCTCTGGCTGTCCCCTCTGCTAGCTCAGGGAGGGAAACAAGGACATTTGAGAAAGGGAAGGAATGGGCAGGAGGCGGCAGCGTGGGCAGGCTCAGGCCGGCCCTTCTCTACCAGCCCGGTGGGTTTGTGAGGCTGCGGGCACGGGGCTGGCTTCGAGAGGAGGTGAGGGTGACTTCTGGGGGGGGAACACAGGCCTCAGGCCGGGTAGCAATGGGCCACGGGCTGTGTCAGCTCCATGAAAACATGCTGTAAAAATTCCAGGTAGCCCCCATCACGCATACAGCATCTGTAGTTTACAAAAACACAGGTTTAGAAGATAGCAAAGCCCAGCTAACTTTGCTCCTTTGGCACCTGTGTTTGTTACATACTAAAACATATACTGGAATTTCCTATACAAGCTTAGAGCCAGTAAACTATGACTTTCAGAGAGCCTGGCTTTAACATCTCTGAATGATGACCTATTTGAAGAATACTGTTTTGGTCATGGAATCAGACTCACCCTTTTGTTGTCATAGAGAAGTACTGACTATGCCTCCTTGGAGTAATAAAAACTCCTCTGTCTTGACAAAACAGGGATTTATCCTTTGTAAGGCCACTCAGGGCTTCCTCAGGGTTTGGCTGGCTGAAAGCAGCTCTAAAATCCCATCTGCCCAAGCTGCAGCGAAGCTTTCTGTGTGCTACTTGCAGGCCAGCCCACGTGCTTCGGATGTCGTTTCCTGGCAGAGGGGAGGCAGCGGTAGTTTCTCTCCAGTTGTCTCAGCTTTGCCAGAAGAAATCCTTGAAGGCAACAAAGACCCCAGAATAAATCCAGTCTGTATACAATTAGAGAAATGCAGAGCCAAATAACTGAGAAGGAGTCCAAGTGAAATCTATCACAGTTTAAATCTGTGTTTCATCTTTAGCTTTGTATTTCTTGTCTTGAATGTTTGATTTTTTTCCTCTTTGACACAGTATTCATGTGGGGCGGGGTTGGGTTCTGCACAAGTGTATGTAAATAATATTCATGAGATACAGATTTTTACTAGTGTCTTTTGTTCAGAAACAAAATGGGGTTCTCATTGTTACCAGACACCTCTGTCACATCGCTTGGCAAGTCTTGAGAAATGTGCTTTATTTCTGTCTTTAAAGACACTCAAGCACTGGCATCTCTGCAGGTAGAGCAGAAGTTCTCTGTTCAGCTACAGGAAATGCCAAGTTAGTTTATTCAACATTCAAAAAACAAACCACCACATACTGAAAAATATATTGCCACCGAAGCAAAGTAGCAACTTGCAAACGTATCTTGACTGGGGTAGATGGTTATACTTCTCTTTTTCAGTCTGTGGCAGAAAGGGAACAGAAGTTGGCTTCAGCAAATTCCCTCAGCCCAGCAACCGTGCTGGTTGTGTACTTGGTGGAAGTAATCTCATTAAAAAGTCTTGTTTTGCCCAGTAGAAATGGCTGGCAAATGATCACTTCAGCTGCTAAGAGTTACAGCGGACTGACTCCGACTTTGTAAATGATGACACCTGCCACCTTGATGCCAGCGTGTCCCTGTCCCTTGCCGGCAACAGTTGCTCTGTTCAGGCTGAAGGAAACTGCTACAGCCACTTTTTAAAAATAACATTTACACACATTTTCACATGAAGCGAGTATGCATATTTACAACGTTCGGGTGTAATTTTCATGTCATCATGTAAACTGTGGGCTATCAGGTCTGGGAACTCTGGTGCTTCCTCTAGAACAAGTTAGGCTGGCAATGAAGCTGATTACTGCTAGAAGCTTAATTATAATCTCAAATTTTATTCAGAGAAGGACGTTCCCCTCACCCCCCTGCTCATTTTCCTTTTGATCTTCCAGCCTTATTAATTTTTTATTCCACCTGGGATAGCTACACAGCCACAAAGAAGCAGTAACATCAAGTACATGTATAAGCTTTGCTGTCTCTCCTAATCCTATTTATTCTGTTTTGGTCCTCCACTTTCTAATCACCATTCTTTATCTCCCAGGTTAATTTTTCTTTCTTTTTTCCTTTCTATTCTCTCCCCATACCATTACTTCTTCCATGTATTTTAACACTCTTCATCTCTTAAGCTACTCATTTTTCCTGAATAATCAAGTTGCTGTCTTGAAGGGCAGCATCTCATCCATGCTCTTTTCCCTCTTAAGAAATACATTTTTTCAGTTGCCTCTGTCCTATGTTGGAACCGTTTAACAGCCACTCTCATACCTGCCACCAGAGCTTGTCTGGGCAAGATCCACAGTTACGCACTCTGCTGCTCACCCTGGCTACTTCAGTCAAGCTTTTGTGTTTGTCCTGGTGACTGTTTTAATTGGCATCTCCTTAGTCTCCTATAGCCCGTATATAGTGGCACTACATGTTTTTTTTTAATAAAAATGTAGTGTGAATATGTAAGGTTGTCCTGTATAAGGCACAAAGGATGTAGAAATCATTATGCCTGTTTTTCTCCTCTTTTCCTGTCTTCTGTCTTTTCAGTCTTCTCTGAACTGACCTTCACAACTGAAACTTCCAGCTGCTCTGTGTAAAGCCTCCTTTGAAGAAGACCCCTCTGCCTTTCTCTGGGTCTGTAGCCAGAAGGCAACCCGTGTAGCTCATTCTGGGGGAACCAAGAACCTCCGCTCCATGACAAGTACAACGGAGAAGTAGTAACTGAATAGCAGAGACCACTAAGTGGTGTCATTTCTCTCTCTGCCAGTAAACAATAACAAAATGCACTCGTCCAAAAGAGTTCACCGCTAGCCACTTTTAAAACTGTTTAAGCAAACCTGTTCTTTTCCGTGGAGGGGAAACGAGGAGCAGGGTTTTGACGGCGCGAAGCAGCGCGCAGAGGGCACTGGGGGGTGTGTAGCACTGTGCAGTGATGTCAGCTGCTTCCTGGCACCTGCATCATCCCCGACGTCCCCGGAGGGACTGTTCTCCCTGCACAGAGGAGACAGACGCCTTCATACTCTGCCATGACCTCAGCACTTCAGCAGTCCACCCTCCCTTAAGCAGCACAGTGCTCTCTAACCATTGTAACGAATAACTTTTCATACCTCAAACTGCAAATTAATTATATGATAAAGAATAACTTCATAATGCCTGGCCAGTTTAAGAAGCCCAGCAACACAATAATACAATTTTCTCTCAATAATTACATGGGAGAAAATTACATTTTGAAACACAGTACCCAGGAAGTTTAAGTACATTCCCATTCCCACAAAAAAAAAAGAGGTGTTCAGTGAAAAATTAGGCTTGATTTTCTATGATCTTATCACTGCCAGACTATGAAAGGGTCCTGTTCTGTTCTTTACTGCACTAGAGCTTTGCGCATCCAAATATTCCTCCACAGTGAAGCTGTCAACAATCACACCAAACTTTCAACAGCATTGCAGGAACAACTCAGAGTCCTAGCTATTATCAATGCCAAGGATGTAATCCCAAGGGAAAAAGAAACCCCCAGTGTAAATACAAATGGACAAAACTGAGAAAACACTGCATTTTTTTTCCTCCCAGAAGCCGCAGTACTTTCTGAGTTTAAACATGCTAGAAATGAACTTAAAACTGCATTAGGCCTCACAAACTTCCTTTCTAGCTGTTGGTTTTGGTATTTTTTTTTTTTTTAGCACCAGCACAGAGCTGTTAGAAAAATGACAAGATTCCATTGCTTGACCTTTCTCTGAAATCACTTTTAAACACACAATTTCTGGAAAAAAGGTGCAGAACAAGTGTGATGTGCAGTGGATCATCTGTGGTCTTTAGAGGGGTCAGGCTATATTCTAAAAGTTACTTCTGAGTTTGTTGGTTCTAGAGCAACTTTCAGTTTGCCAGATGTTGTCTCAAAGCCTTGAAGTCTGAGAAAGTAAGTAGGTAGGTGTTCATTATTTCTGGGCACAGATTTATACTGTGGGAGTATCTTTATTAAATTACCAAATTTTTAGGTGACACCAAGTGCTTGTTAGTGGCACTGCAACTAAATGGTCAGACAAGATAACAAGATTATCTACCTCCTTTCATAATTCAGAAAAGACAGTAATAGATAATATCCTGTATTGCTCAGGGAGTCCATGCACTCCACCTGTCAGACAAGGGCTCTAAACAATGGGAAATGAGAAACATTGTCTAAAGCCAAGAGCTTTGTGTGCTCTTGTATTACACAGTCTGTCCCCAAATTACCGAATAGATCTGACACTAAAATCCATGTCAGGGCTGTGATATAGTCATCAAGGAGACAAAAAAAAAACCCCAAAACTGAAAAACAAGCTGTAATACCACAGCCATCACCTGACAGAGCCTTCAGGCACCTCCTTCCTTTTGTCTGCCTGCCTCCCCCTCCAGCCTTGCCTCAATGAAGGCTGTAGCATCTAAAAATACTGATTTTCATACCCTCATTCTCAAAATCTGGTCCACTGTTTTATAGGTGTGTATTTCACCTAAAACCTTCCTTGGGCCTTTTCAGTCTCTGAATGCTGGTAAAATGAGGAGTGGTACTTAACTGGAGAGCAATTACCACGCTTCGTGTCAGATTCTTTCCCTTTTACGATCATCATCACTACTCCGTTGAAATCAAGGGACTTCTTGTAAACCAAGAGTGGGTTTTTTTAACGTGTCCTCGGCGTGCACTTCCCATGCAGAACGTAGAGTCAGGAGTGGCGAGCTGGGACGGGCTGGACTCGAGCCCACCACTCAAGGTGATGGCAGGAGTACAGTTACTGTTATCAGGGCTGAGGGACAGGCAGCAGGAGACGGCTGTGATCCTACCAATAACCAAGCGGTTTGTCTGAGCAAGTAGCTGGCCTGCTAGCTAGATTTTAAAATGGACAACTAATATTTCCCCAGATGCCAGGTTCTCTGGATCAGACCAAATTAGAAAGCTGCCATACTCAGACTTGTCTCTTCAGCAACTTTCCTTGCAGCCCAGCAGGAATCCCGCTGGGACACCAGCACGATGGAGCAGGAGCCCCTTGGTGTGCTCTTGCTCCGAAACAAGTTTCTGTTTGGATCCTGAGCCGTGTTACAGCAGGGTCTCGGGCACTGCACTGCATTTCAAACCACGTGGACCTGCCCTGGGCCATCAGGGTGAGGGGAAGACAGTGGGAAACTTAAGTTACACAAATTACCATAAGGCTGATCTTAAGAGAACACAAACGCTCTTCGTTTCACCTAACAGTTCTGACAGAAAATCTTTTTCTCCGTATAAAGGCAGACAGAGCACAAGAGTTCTGTATCAAACAGAATCAAGATCAAAGTGATCTCTGCTGTGTAGTATTAACTTACAGATCTGAAATTCGCTTCTGTTCCTCCCCTCGCTGCTGTAGTATGATGGATTATTTAACACTGGTTTTAATCCTTTTATGACAGATCTACCAAGCTTAGTTCAGGTCTAATGTTCTGCTGTTGAAAGGGGCTTGGTTGGTGGGACCTATCCTGAACACGTCTCCTCCCGGCTGCTGTTTGTCCCTTCATGCTTCTCTTTCTCTACATCTCAGCATTCACACTTTCCTGTAGCCAGAAAAAGGAAGAGATTATTTTTGAACACCAGAACAAGAAAGAAAAAGTGTCCTAGCTACATGGTGATTTCTTTTTAAATCAAGAAAACATGAAAACATGTCTAATTTATGTTCCACAAATGCAACTGAAGCAGATTCACAAAGTTAAAGTCCAGTCCTTTCTGGTTTTATTCCATGGGGGTGGGAAGGGAATAGGTGGTGTGATAGGACGGAGGAAGAAGTCCTCTCTCCTCTTAGTAGTTTTCAAGTTCTGTTATATCCATTTCCCTTCAAACAGTACTTGCCATTTTTGTTACAGAAATAAAATACCACGTTAAGGATAAGATACAGTCAGTGCATGAGTTCCCTCCACTATATGAAAAGTGTAAAAAAAACCTGCAAAATGGCCATGTAAGCAATCAGCAAGTAATAATAGGATAAATAACAACAAATAGGGTTAATATTGACAGGTAACAAGCCTTGATGCAGAAGTGAACCCTATGTATTCTACCAGATCAGTGTCCTACAACCCAATGACATGAGAACAATGCACAGGCACTTTAGGATAAATATAGTATCTTACTAAAAATGTCACATCCTCTCAAACTTCACCACCCAGCACTAATGGATCAAAACAATATACTCCAGCTGCTACCGTCCCGGTCAAGAACTGACTGCTTTCCCCAAAATCAGGCTTAGAATAAAGGCTAGTTCATTAATATTATAAATTAATATTAATAAATACTCCTATAACTTAATAAAATAACTAAATGAAGACATTATTTCAACGGGATTGAACTGCTCAGGTGCCCCCTAAACCTAAATGGGCTCTTCTGATACATGTATTTGAGGTTTCACTGACCTCTCATAGGAGTAATTATTAATTAATTATAGCAGCCATATCATTCAGATATAATAATGAATTTTTTTTATTTTTTTTTTGAGGTACAGGTGGTTGCCAGGAAAACATGGCAGCAACAAGCAAAGAAATCCATAGATCTGAACTGTAATGAGGCGCATGCATTGATCATCACAGTCCAAACATTCATGCTTTTCAAGAAGCCACATCTGCCTTTTGATATGCCACCTGGGGGAAAATACTCCATCTATTTTCAGTATTACAGGAGCGAGAATGTCAGTGTCCCACTTTAAAATTTAGAAGTTCAAAAAAATCCTTGTAACCTAATGCTCAAGCAGTACCTACTGCTATGTTGACCAAAAGCATCTCTGAGCATTGCTAAGGCAGAGATTTGTCTCCAAGAGGAGAGGCCTAATAGAGCAGCTTGTGTGTAAACTAGCACATAACACTCACACTTGCAGAAAATGTTTTATTCGGTATGCTAGCTACTTTTTTTTTTTTTTTTAAGCTGATTTGAAGAAAACAGCAACCAGTTAGATGAGGTAGTGGAGCAGTAGGGTCAGAGCCACGTCTTGGAGGTGACCAACTCCCAGGATATCATTTGAAAGTTTTAAGGTTCTCCATAGTTCCCTCAACTCCCACTTTCACAAATACAGTGGCTCAAAATTCAGAAGCATAGCACAGCACTTCAGCAGTGTCTAGTTTAGGTGAGAATGCATTTCCTTTAGCCATTTCTTCATTGTGAAAATTTCTATTTTGAGCCATATTCTGAAGGTATTCTAACTGAATGGGAAAACAAACGGCATTTTTATTATTTTGTGGAGTTAGGAAACATCATGCAGATAAAACAAATCTATGGGAGTTATTTGTGCTGTTACTCTCTAAAACAACTGTCTACACTGGAAAACTAGAACCAGAGACTTACAGAAATCACGGAATAATTAATTCTCAGCTCTTTTCTATCCATTAACAGCAGACTTCTTCTTTCAACTCTAAGAAGATTATAAATGCTGAGTTACTTTGGGCTATCTGAGCAGCGATTTGGATTTCAAATGAGAACTGTCACAGTTGAAAGCTTAAAGCTCCGTTTTCTTGGCAATGCCCTAGTATTTTCAGAATTATGTTGTCAGAGCTGTTTACAATCCAGAGCTAATTATTCACTCAGAGAGGTGCAAATCCACTGAGCTCTCCGGAAAGTCAGTTTCACATGCATTGAAATAAATGCCATTACTTCAGATTTACTCCATGCTAAACAAGAAAATACCTTTGGCCCAAGGAAAAAAAAAAAAAAAAAAGTAGGAAGCAAGATATGCCATCACCAGCAGCCCTGGCAGAAATACGCAGGGAGAGTAAAGCTTCAAAGCTGCTCAGCTGCCTGAGGCTCTGCTATTCCATGTGAATAACTAGTTTTCCCTTTACTCTAGGTGCTGTCATTTATCATCTTTATCTGCTATATTGCATCTCTAGCTACCTCTTTCATGATGGCACCACTCCTAGAGTTTCTGCTGGCCCTGTTTCTTTTTTTTGCCTACGCCTCCAAACTTAATGAGAAGTTTAAAGGACTCTACTGGCCTTTGATGGTAAGTGAAATGTGCAATATAAACCCAGAGATTTAATTGTACAGTATAACATGAGTAAAAGGGACTATACAGGAGTTTAGGCTGACTGTTAACAACTTCACCCCCTTACTAGAAACTTGTCTGGATTGCCTTCCCTTCAGAAGGGCCTAAAGCACTCTTTAACCTGTGCTATGCTACAACTCTAGCTTTCTTGGTGCTGACACAAAGTATGGTTTTATTAAAGCACAGAACTTATACCTGATTCCCAGAAAATGGCTCAGAGCTGGATCTTCAGAAGCAGGCAACATCAGCCTAACTAAGTCTGACCACTGCTGGGGGCTCCTTTAATATTGCTACCCTTACAAATGGGGAAACTGAGGCACGCTATATAGTAATCCATGTACTTTACTAAAACGTTTTAAAATTCTCAGGTAAGTGCTGTTGAGATGCAGAGTCATACTGACAGATAAAGTGACAGCTACTTTTGTTAAGGGGAGAAGCCTGGCAACCCTTGTCTGCAGATGCTCATGCACACAGAGGAAACCAGTGGCTAGTCAGGGCGTCTTCAGGCTGGTACTTGCAGGCAGTTACTGCACACTGGCCACTGGATGTCTCTGTTGCTTCAAATACACACTCCAAAGGGACCGTCTGTCTAGCACAGATACTTCCAAAAAACGCTCATCTAACCGATCTGGATTCTCTTTTGGTACAGTCTAGCAATAGTTCATCATAGGGAGATTTGAATTAGAGCTCTCAACAGTAGAGAAATGGCCACTGGTGGATAAAGGAATAGCAGTGACTTTGACTATGACAGTGCGTGGTTCTCAGCTGGTAACCTCAGTTCCATTGTTTTCCCATGTTATGCACGCAGCTGATTCCAGAACTAAGACAAAACCCCAACTTATATGTTTGTTATGTCCACCACCATAATATACTCCAGCCGCAGAATGTAGATAACTGACCTTGGCCCGACTTCAGAAGAGTCAGGCTTCTTACAGGATTTGTGTTTTGAGACAGAATCTTTCTTACCCCTCTGTTCTGAAAAGGCAGATCTAACTGTCAACAGAGGTCAAGATACCATTATTCCAGCTCACTCTGGGAATCCCAGCTCTTTATTTAATATACAGCTCAGAGACACTGCTGGCCCCAGCACGTCGCTGCCCGTACTGCAGCGCATGGCCCCTGCCCTGCAGAGCTGCAGTCTCAGCCACAGAAACACCCCTGTCAATGACAGCAGCAGGTACGTTCACTCCAGGCGAGCTGCTGGAGTTACAAGTGTACATACGAAGTATAAATCACAGTTTTAAACACTAAACAAAGTGTTTAGTTCCTAAACGAGGACTTCCTACAGACAGGCCAACTTGTATATAGAAGCAAACGCACGCCTGTTCCCCACGGGAACAGAGTCTTTGCTGCCACGAGTTCTGCTCGAAGATGAAGTTTGTAAGGCATTTCAAATGATTCTTCTATTAGAGCCCTCGCTGCGCTCCAGACATCTCAGAAAGGTGGCCCTCCTCAGCCTGAAGAAAGGTCTGCCTGACATAAGCATGTTAAAAGTAGGAGTTATACCAACATCTGTAAGAGCAGAAGCTTATGCCAGGATTCTGGTCATCTCTCATGTAAAAATATTTCCCAGATGAGCCATTCATCCGCTACAAAATACCAGGCTGTAGTCACACTCCAGCATCAGGCAAGTCCACCGATGCAACAACAAAGGTTTTTAGTGGTCATTTCTGAAATAATTCTTAGAGGAGTTTGTATGTTGGAATTACATGACTAATCTGAGAATGCAACATTGCTTATTTTACAGGATTTCTTGCGGTGCGTCACTGCTGCCATTATTTACTTTGCCATTTCAATTGCTGCTGTCTCAAAATATAACGATGGAGCATCTAAAGCAGCAGGAGTAAGTAGACGCGAGTTTTCCCCTTAAGTATTCTGGAGAAGTGCGTATGGACATACTTTAGAAACAATTCGATTTTGACCCCGTTGCAAGTAGCAGAAGTTTCTTCAATTAACTGAGATTGCCTAAAGCAAGGAAGAAATGGTCAGCTATTGAGAAAACTGTGTTTTGAATCAGTGAATAGTTTTTTCGTTCTGATGGTGCTGCTCAGTGTTAACTGTACTAACTTAGGGAAGGCATCTATTCTGCTTTTTAATTTCACCAGCTGTACAGGGAGTATAAACTTCTCTGTTCCTGCAAGATTCTCCTGCAAGATCCTTGAATTGAGGGAATAATAATAATTAAAATAACCAAACCTGTAACTACTAAGGACAGTCTAAAATAAGTAATTTCAACCTCCTGCACCTACTGCTTGACTTGACTTGGATGAATTGAAACAAGAGCAGTGTCAATTTACCCTCCAGTACACAGACTGCCCAGGAGAGAGCCTTTGCCATCAGCATTTTGTGTTCAGAAATGGGATACAGCCTCACCATCTGCAACTTGACTCTAAGCATCAATAATGTATGCAATATAAATAAAATCTGCATAATTTTAAAAGATAGGGAAGAACAATACCCAGTAGTGTTAGCCAGCCAGCCTTACCAAACCATCCCAAGCCATACACAATTTCAAAACAAAGACCTTATTTTAATCTTTGCCACTCTGTTTAGACATGGAGCAATGCAACGTAGCATTTACTCTAGCTTCTCAGGCTGAAAACCAGCCTGTTCTTGCCACACTGCTGCTTCTTTTGACACTAAATAGGTAACGCCAGAATCATTTTATCTCAATCTATTTCACTGCTACAGACATGTCTCCTTGCAAAGCAGTAACAAATTATTTCCAGAGAAATTGAGGTGATTTCTTGGTGGCAAACAGATGCCCTGGGATGGTGGAGGTGCAGGTTATGTTCTGTAGCTCTTGACACGGGGCAGTGGTGATGCTCAGAACGTGCCCAGAGCCAGAGAGGGATGTAGCCTGGGGAAGGGCTAAGGACACATCTGATAGAGCAGCTGCAGGGTTCACTACTCAAGCTCCCAAATTAGCTGCAATTTAGTTGATGCCGATGGGTCGTGAGACATGTCCCTTCCCTGTCTTTTTAGAAAGGCACAAGCCAAAAATAAATCAAGCCCAAGTTTTCTTAAGCATTCTTCTGTCAGTTAGACTTATCTTGGTTTGTCGTTGATGGACATGACCTGTTGTTAAAGAGGGTATTATTTTGCCATTTTAGGTGTTTGGATTTGTAGCCACGATAGTGTACGCCATTGATTTCTACATAACCTTCAATGACCTGGTTACTTTTCTCAAGCAAGGCAGTTCTGATTCCCCTGAAGGGCACAAGTCAGAAGGTAGGTAAAATTCCCCATTTCGGTTATACTAGCGTGTAACGTGAGATTTTCTTCTCCATTTCACCCTTCACAGGGGAGCAAGAGCGCTCAATAAACAGTTTCTGTTCTTGGCTACGTTGGTTTCTATGACACAGCTATGCTGAATTACAAAGCTGCTTAGTCTTAAAATAAAACTAATTTCAGTGATTTAAAAAAGATAACTAGCAAGTCAGGAATGTAAAGTTTCTCAGAGTTTTGCACCATCTAGTTTTGAAAAGCCTCAATCCAATTATAGAAATTACTGTGCAGCACAGACTTTTTTCCTCCTGCCAACATGTCTTTCTTTAAAAACAAACATCTACCTTTTTTTTTTTTCTTTTGATAACTTGATAATTAACATCCATTAGTCCACAGTCTTTTATTTCCAATAGTGCTCTTCTCTTCATCAGCTCCTCGTCATGATTACCTCTTATTCGGGGTCAAGCTTTGACAATCTGTGGGAAAATGGCCTTGAAATCCAAGGGCCACACAGTGTAAAATTAATAAGATTGTTACCAAATGTCTTTCTAATATACAAGGTGCAGTCTACCTCAAATCAGAGAGATCCACTCAAAGATAAAAAGAGGGACCTGCTGTTGGGAGTTCAAACCCATTTCAAGTCAGGACACAGGTAGCTATTTTGCAGTACCCAGGAGCCCAAATCATGCCCATGTGATACTAGTTAGTGCACCCACAAAGATGAAAAAGACTCCACACTTAAAAACAAACAAAAAATCCCCAAACCCTGAAAAACACCCCACACAAAACCAAAACCCACAAAAACCCTCAAAAACAAATACTCAGGACATGTACAGAACCCTAGAAGGTATATAGTCACTCTAACATAGTGTTTTCTAGGTATTTTAGTAGACTGTTAAGTGTTTTTGAAGATTTAGGCCAAAAAGAGGGACAAAGAAAGGAAGAATTAAAGGAACAGCTCATAGGAAACAGACTGTTAAGACTAAAAACTGTTTATCCCCACAAACTGAACTGACCTCAGAAGATCAGGTGACAAGGGCACAAAGTTAGGCTAAAGATTAGATCTAATTTCCATGGAGTTGGAGAGACAAATACATAAACTTACAAACAAGCAGTCACGCAGCTTTGTGTTGATGATTTGACCATGCAAGGGCTTTGTCCTGCAGCACTGTTCCTCCAGCACCAAACTCTTGTTCACACTGGAGCTCTCAACTGCTGATGCCAGAAATCCCTTCCTTGCAAGCCAAGTCTTGAGCTTGGGCAAGACATACCTCTGTAGGCCTGTCAGGATTTCTTAACATCTTAAAGCTTCTGGCTTTCAGATACGTTTGACTGGCAGCGCAGAAGGGTGACCCACAGCACACGGCAACGCTCGAGTACAGGAAGCGTGTCTGCAGCAGACTTCCTCTTGGTGGTCACACTGACAATATTGTCTCTGCAACTTCCTTCATCTGAACTGTTACCTACGTTGTAGTGGTCTAAGGGCATTTCTCAAGTCCTCTGAAACACAATTTAAAGCTCCATCATGTTAGTAAGAACTGTCATTTTAGGAGTTTTTTCCTAAATGTGGCACATCCTTTGAAGCAGACACCTGCTGAAGAGCAGCAGCTCCCAGCAAGAGCTAAAGTTGATGTGGAGATTTCCAGTTTTCATTTTCAGTATTGTTCCTTGTTTTAAATTTCAGATGAGGACTCCGATTCTGACTCAGACTGAAGAACTGAACACCAGCCAAGCGTGAAGGGAAGATGATCAAGCACTTTCCTCTTTGCTGAATGCACTGCCAATTGAAATATCTCCCTTATTTCAACCTTGGTATCCTCTTTCCACCTCACTGTTTATGGAATCACCAAAGCACAGACAGGGCAGTGATGTGGAAAAGGAGATAATTCCCAATGCATTAGACGTTCCTTCAGAACTATGGATTTTACAGTAGTTCAACCTGCCAGAGAGGTCTGTGTCCAAATAACACATCTCAATTCTCTGCTGCCCCTCTCTACTCAGCACTACAATGTACTGAGTAAACGGGACCATGGTATTTTAAACGTGTAAGCGGAGCTTTTAATATGCTTTCTTAATTCCAAATCTTTAACTCTTACAGCTTTTATACTTCTTGCTGTGCCAAAGAAGGGAGGCTCACAATGCCTCTACTTTATTTGTATTTTTCCTGATTAACTAACAGTATTTCTTTATCTGAAGTCTGAATATTCCACTATCTCAAGCACTGAAGGTTATAGTTATCATGTTGGTTTCAGTACATTTATATCTACTGCCTATCTGCAACAAGAAAAAGTGAACTGGAAATCTGCAGTAAGAATAAACCTCAAAAGTATAACTGTGCTGCAGGGTAGCTGCTTCATCAAATATTCAGTATCACTTTTTTAAGCTGCTTGGATGGGATCACTCCCATCTTCCGCAGTTCCACCACAGAGCAGAGGTAGAACAGATGAGGCATCTTTGTACCAGCACCCTTCCTACCATTTGTGTGGGAGCCCTTGTACGTGTTTGCACATACAGGTAGGGAAGGCTGGCCACATACCATCCAACAGTACCTGCCTGCAGAAGCCTGGAAATGTTTGTGCACAAGATATGACTGTCTGATCTCACGCTGTGCTGCGAACGCTGGCCCTCCCGTGAGAGCTAGAGCTGGATGTCGTCCGCTGGGTTTGCAAAACAGACAACTGTTCTGTAAAACTCAGGATACCTGGACCCCAGGAGGGCAATACATCCTTCCCACTGTGAAAAGGCAAAAAACCAACCTCCAAACTAAAGAACGTCTGCAGTGAAATTTTCCCCGACCCTTTTTGGGGGAGGGCATGTGTGTGGCATTTGGTTTGGGTTTTTTCCCCCTGGAAGGACATGATTTATCTCATGGTCTAGTATTCCAGGTGAAAAGCCTTCTGAATTTGCAAAAGGTAGTTTCATGGGGAGCACAACCTACCCTGAAATATTTGTGTCCACCCATGAACGTGTACTGCTTGGAAAATGCATGGCGTGCTCCTTATATATGGCATCAAACAGGTCTATTTCAAAGAAACCTGTACACATTTTAACAAAAATTAATCTAGTACCAGAACAGGTGGCCTTAACAGGGATTAATTAAAATGAGAGCAGATGGTACTAACAGAGTAAATGAAAAACAGGGATAAAACAATAAAGGCAGATTTCCTTTGAAACAAAATTACCACTTGGGTTCCAATTCCCTGCTAGCAGCTGGCTGCTAACAGGCAGAACACGGTACCTAGGAGCGAGCAGGGGCTTGGGAAGGTGCTGGCCAGGTTCAGAGCTGTCTGACAGGCAGCTCCCGCATCTCCTGTTTCCAGACCACTGAGAGAATAAAAGCAAAACAAATGGTTGCTTCTAAATGTGAAATGCTTTTATGAGAAATAGCTCTATGGACCTTTTCCTGTATGAAATTCCATGTTTCTTTTCTGTTATCATATTTTACTGGCACACACTGGGATATCGGGGGACCTGGGCTCATTTTTATATTCAATTGTTTTGTATTTCTCTTTTTTTAATTAAAAAATGTACTGCATGTCACAGCTGGAAACTAGTACATGGTTAATATTTAGAAACCATGATGGATTAAACCTCTTTTAATAGAAGTGTTGGGTGTCTTTACTTACTTTAAGACCTGGTTTTACCACCTCGCCTCTGACCAGTGAGAGCAACGATGCTTCAAGAAACTTTACCGGGCAGGATGGCGGGTGCTGGGGAGGTGACAATAGCACAGAGCCAGCGCTGGAGACCAGTCACTCATGCTTGCGAGGAGACACTTCATCTTCAATGCGTAAGTGTAAAAATTTAACCAAGGATTAGTTTTAGCATATTTATTAGACACTGGAGATCCAGTGCTCTTACCTGGCAGCTAGTAACATTGTGAACAGCAATCCCCTTTGGGTTTACGCTTCACAGACATGTTACAAGCCAAGAACTGCGAGCATTTTCTAATAATTTTTTCACATTGGAATACTCCTAAAATCAACAGAAGAGGCAAACAAAATTGCTCATTACATGCTTCAAGACTGCTTTAGCAGGCATGCAGTGAATTGCCTGTCCACAGAATTTAATTATTAGCATTCAAGTATTTGATGATTTCATTTATTTCTAAGCAGTTTGCTCCCAAGGTCAAGCACTTGTGTAAGATTCCAGCATTTTATTTGAAAGTATGTTCCCATGACTGAAATAAAATACACTTTTATAAATATAATTTCAGAAAAGAGAATTCAATTAAAAGTAATTACTTTAAATCCAATTCTGATTGGGGGAGTGGGGGGGAAATGTCGGGCTGACTCAATCTTTGGTTCATCTCCTGCCAGCAATATTGCACTAAGCTCAGAGTCTGGTATAAGGCAGAGGAAAGTCTACTTGGGTTTTTTTGGCCTTTGCATTTGTTTGCTTATTTTTCCTTAACAAAGTAGCAGGAGCACTGCTTTCTCTGCAATTCAGGATCCACAACACAAGCACAATGCTACACCTGCAGCATGGAGTCCTAATTGAGTTCTTATTTCAGTGTACTGTTATCAAACAATCATCATCTCTTTTTGTTCCAAACAGAAGCCATTTCCAAAATCTGTACAGGCTAAGATAAGCCTTCGTTAAAAGTGCATCAATTCCCATTTTGAATTCCTGTGCCTGTTAGACAGCACAGCAGCAGACAAACCTAGGGAGTGATGAGAGTTTCCAGCACCAAGTGTGGAACACATCTATGTGCAACAATGCAAGCAGTCTTATGATCTACACACTGTGAATCAAAGCCACTAACAGGAAGGAAAAATGATCAGCTAGCATCACAGAGGAATGACTTCATACAGCTCTCACACTGTTTGAAGATGTCTCTCCCTCCTCCTCCTCTCAAAAAGCTTTTATACTTATCTGTGGATGGTTTGCTCAGTCCTGTGTGGTGATTTTGGACAGGTGATAAGGAATTCAAAAGACCTTTCCAAGCAACCTTTTTAGTTTCTAAGAGGCTCAATTGTCCAGACTTTTAACACTCTCCATTGCTCCACTTAATTTTGCTTTTCACCTGATACCTTTCAAAGCTCGGTTAAGTCTTACATTTCCAACTGACAAAGTAATCTCCAAGATACTAAGTGAAAAGTGGTGTATCTCAGCCTGTGTGGTATTTGAGAAGAATGCTTCCACCAGTCTGGTGTGTCGGAAAGCAGAAGACAACTTAATGCTCTGCACAACAAGCATATGGTTTTCATTCATTATGCTTCTGGTAAGTGTTCATTGTGCAAATTTCTAAGCCTGAGTTTTATAGCTGCATCTTCCCCTGCTAGGAGACCAACAGCCTGTATCATTAAGTGAGTATGTACTTGTAACCAAACACTAACAGTGCATGTTACCAACCTTGTCAGAGATCAAAAATCATAAAATTAAGTGGCTTCATTCCAAAGACCAGGATACAAATGAGCAAATGCAAGATAGTCATCACCATGCATATGTAAAAATACGAGCAGCTCCACCTGGCCATCCTCTAATCTTTTTTTCAGCATGGAGAAAGAGAGAGAACTCATCAAGTAAGCAGAAGAAATCTAGATAAGCACTGAGAATGCAAATCTTGTTACAAGATGCTCGAGACAACTTTCAGCATGAAGTACTGGTTTAGAAGTCAGGACAAAGACACCATCTCTTGTTTTTCTTATAAATAAACAGGACTGCATCAAAAAAATCCATACTGCAACACAAATTCCTCCTTTACTGTAAGAATTCACAGTGCTCCGAGTGTTCTGTAAAACTTCTATGTCAGAAAACAATGCTACCCAAAAAGTGTAAAGTGTATTTAAAAAAAAAGTTAATTTTCAATCTATTTTCTTGAAAAAGAAAACTATTCCAATATGAATTTTGTGATTTTATTTTATATATTTCAGATGCTATCACATTTTGTTAGCCGAATCCATTAAATAAGAAATAATTATAGGCTTCCCAGGAGACCGAAGGAATATTCAGTATTTAAAAGTTAGACAGAATAAACTCTATTTTTTTAATTCAACAGCTGACAAAGCTTCTCCTAACCAATGAACACCATGGATAACAACATCAGCAGCAATATGGCATTAAAGTCCAGTACTTTAATTCTTTGTTTTTCTTAAACAGCATCAATTAAAAGGCCTGATCTCTGAGCAGGTCCGATGGATGTACCACCACAAGAGATGAGACTCTACCAGTGCTGACAGCCCCACACAGGCAAAATGAACTGGCCCATCCCGTAGCAGCAAAGTTGTACAAGCACGTCACTCTCCTTAAGGAATCCTTCTGTAAAAGCTCAACCATTCCACCCTTTGTCCACCTCCCCCCACACACATTATCCCTAAGCAGTGTTTTAAGAGCATCATCCATATTCCAAAAAGTTTCCACACCACTTTCAACCATCCATGTGCTTCTGCAGTTCTCACGCTTAACTCAGAGCTTTCACCTCACACCTGAAGCACCCGGATCCCAACTCCATCAAAGTAGAACTTGCAACCTTGCAACAACAGCCCATGAGGTGGCAGAGAACTACCCACCCACTCTGGCATTTCAGCCCCAAAACTCCTTCTCAGCCCAGAACACAATGCTGCAAACCACAAGCCCTAGCATTTCGGCCCATTACCGTGTACCAGATGGAGAAACTTCCACAAGAGCAAACCCACCACAACCCCTTTAGCAATAAAGCAGTTCCATGTGCTTTCTGCTACGTATCACCTCTCATCAAGGATAGACATGGTTTTTCATTAAATCCTGCATCTATGAAGTCTGTCTTGTCAGAGGCACAGTCACAAAAACCCAGACTGGGCTGGCTGGTTTGATGTTTAAGCCCTGAGCCTCTTGCACAAGAAGGGCTTTTAGCAACTGCACTTACCGGGTTACGAACTGATCCACCACATCACTTGGTATACTGTTTATCTGTAGCCTTTACAAATGAAGACAATGTTTTTGTACTTTAATATGTCCATTTATTAAACAGGAAGTCCTTCACAAATGATTCCATACTATATTATCAAGATAAGTGTTAGAAAACTACCATTTTCCCTACATACAAAAATACAGACTTTTACCACTATGAAGACATGATCAGAAGAGTACCATGAAAATCCATAGAGCTCAAATCTTCAAATATCAGAAAGAAAAAAAGACAGAAAGACAACTAAATAAAAAAATTTACAAAAAGTATTGTGCCCATATACAAAAGACTGGAAAGCAAAATGACATTTAAAACTGATAAATACACCATTTAAATTATGCTATAACAGTATGGATTTTAAAAACAAGGCTGCTTTCTGTATTGCAAGACAATTACAATTCTTCAGCTTGTGTTTTTTGCTTAGCATAAACACCAACAGAAAAGAAGCACACAACATACTGAGAAATCATCACTGGTGTTAACACAAGTTGGGGTTACGTTTTCTTGTAGAGTTACCTTGCCTTTGACATTGGCCGAGCATTAACAGCACAGCTTTCACATACAGAGCTGGAAGGTGCCACACTTACAGCTGTAAGTTACAGCTGTGGATACTGAGAAGACAGCGATCACAGCCGGCAGGTACCACTACAGAAAGCGTCCATGTCATCAGCTGGCCTTGTGTGCAGTTTAAGAACTTCAAGAACACTTACCAAAATAATGTGAAATGACTTCAAGGCTGTAAATTGTCTCTGTATGAACATTTGCTAACTTGAGATATTCTTCAAATCCTTGATCAGGATTTGGCAATAAATGGGTACCTGATCTGCAGTCCCCTAAGTCAATGGGGAATTTTGCCTGAGTAAGGACAACAGTCAGGTTCTGTATTCACACGCAGAAGAGTATGCTTCTAAGATATTCCTTGGCAAAACATTGCAATTTTTCTCACTTCAAATGCAAAATACCAAGGGTATTACACAGCAGACTTGTGCTCATATGATAAAAGGAAAATTGCATCTCCTTTGCTCAGCCAGAGATGGAATTATAAGCCACTATTTCAACTAATACTTCTGAGCTGTTGGCAATTACAAATCACAGAATCATTAGGTTGGAAAAGACCTTGAAGATCATCTGGTCCAACCATTAACTAAATCTGTCACTACAGGACCTATATCCCCAAGGGATAAGGTCTTTCAGTCAGGCCTGGATGCACCTTCCTCGGACACCATAAACCAGACTATGAGCTAGAATCAGAATGTTTAGGCTGTGCCTGCTACATTTTCTACAAGACCCAGAATCAGCACCAAGGATACAGATATCCCACACTGAGCATCTCTTTACACAAGTCTCAAGGAAATAAATTTGGAATACCTTCTAGCTCATGTCAGCAATGTCCTTTATCTCCATCTTTCAGGTAGCAGCTGAAGGCAGAGCAAAAGTGATACAAATCCTTTGATTCGCCATGAGATCAGATTTACTATTTAGTGCACAAAGGGGAGTCAATGACTACAGTAACCCTAAAACCAGTATTAGTGGAAACAAAGCACAGTGAAGCCAGAGATGCATTAGTGACTCACGTTACAAAAATAGTGTTTACTGGTTTAATAAATTTACATCTCTATTTCTGTGAATGACAAGTGTTTATACCACACATGGAAGGCACCCTAGGTGAAGCAGTTTTTCGGTATTTGTTTACAATTCTGTGAA